TAGACAATTATGGTCTATGAGCAAAACCCAGTTTATTGTCTGTTTCTTAATGACTCCAAATTTTACCTTATTGGGGAAAATATCAAAAGAATAGCATTTCATAATTTGAACATGATTTAAAACCCAAATTTCAGTGTTTATAAACAAATTTTATTGGAAAACCAAAACATTTTTTTTTTCTAAGAAAAAGTTCTGGAGCTGAGACTACCACCAAATGGTTATGAAATGAAAAAGGAGAATGGTAGTATTAAATGTATTAAATAACTTACTTAATTTATATTCGCCCACCTCAAAAACATTAAATTTGTTGCATAAATTTGCAACATTAAATTTGAGAATGAAGTCCTCTAAAGGAACAGTATTTTTTGTCTTCTAATCGTAATTACATATCTCTATATGATTTAGAGGGCAATGAGTTCTGACAATTAAGTTCACAAACTTATCACTGTGCACTTAAGTTGGAAGCACTGTACAAACAATTTAGTAAGGTTTTATAACCTGGATATATCAGTGTCTCACAGCTGTGTTTGTGTCTATGTATGGCAGTGTCTTGCTGAGTGGCATTTGTTATTGTTGCATGTTTATGTGTGCTTTCATGAGAGTGTGAGAGCTTAAATTAGACCAACTTATAAATTTCTTATTAAACTTGGCAAAAATTGGGAAGAAATCAGGCATATATTAGTCCAAGTTTATGAGGATAATGCCATGAAGAAAACAGTAGTACCGAAATGGACTCAGTGTTTTTCTGAGGTAGGAGAAAATGTCACTGATGAAGAGAGGTTAGGACAGCAAGTAATGAGCAGAACTAATGAAAATATCACAAAAATTCAGTGAATTATGCTTCAAAATCATCAGCTGACTGTGAGAAGCATAGCAGACCAAGTGATCATCAATAGAGAAACAGGAAAATCTTGGCCACCAATTCATGGCTCTTGCATCATGACAATGCACCAGCTCACACAGCACTGTATGGAAGGCAGTTTTTAGCCAGTAAACAAATAAATGTATTAGAACACGCTCCCTACTCACTTGATCAGGCCTCCAACAACTTTTTTCTTTACATGAATTAAAAGAAATATTGAAAGGAAGACATTCTGATGATATTTAGGACATCAAGGGTAACCAATGACAGCTTTGATGGCCATTCTAGAAAAAAGTTCCAAAATTGCTTTGAAGTGTGGAGTAGGCCCTAGAATCAGTGCATAGCTGCCTAAGGGGAGGTTGCGATAGTGATACTCGGCAATGCGGTATGTTGCACTTTAACTAGGATGAATTCACAAACTTTATTGTCAGACCTCTTACATGTTAGATACCTTCAATTGTCATAGTATTTAACATAATGAGAAATTCTTTCAGTAATCTATTTTGTAAATGTTTTTCATTACAAATTCTTTCAGTAATCTAAATGTAAATTGTTTTTGAGCCTCTTCTTTTGAAGGTTGCACTCCAGTTTGGAAGTTCTAGATAGAATAATTTTGAAAGCAAATATTTATCTGTTTAAAAAGCCCTCAAAGCTTGATGTTTTCTGTTCAAACACCAGTTAGGAAAATCAATATTTTACTTCAGAAGGAAATGATTTGGTTGCTTAAC